GAGTGAGTGAGTGAGTGAGTGAGTGAGTGCGAGTGGTGAGTGTGTGAGTGCGAGAGTGTGAGTGTGAGTGTGAGAGTGTGCGAGAGTGTGAGTGCGAGAGTGTGAGTGCGAGAGTGTGAGTGCGAGTGCGAGAGTGTGAGTGCGAGAGTGCGAGTGCGAGTGTGTGAGTGCGAGAGTGTGAGTGCGAGAGTGTGAGTGCGAGAGTGTGAGTGTGCGCGAGTGTGTGAGAGTGAGTGCGCGAGAGTGTGAGTGCGCGCGCGCGCGTTCACCTGCATCTACAGTTCTCTCTTTAGAAAAAGACATCACAAGTGTCCAAAACAGCGGCCACGTGTTATAAAGGGGCGCGCATCTGCCCCGCGCCACCTCGCCGGCCAAGGAACGTCACCTGGGAACACCTGTATTCGGCTCAGAATTCAGCGATAATAATGGCTTTACGAGCGCTATTTGCCCATTTATTATATGCATACATACATACAAACATTTTATATAAAATATATATAAGAGCATCTACCAACTGAAACTATGCTTGCGCAAATAGACGACATTTAATGCAACGCCACACCAGCACTCCTTCTAAGCCGCGCTCTGATTGGCCGAGAGCGGACCGACGTCAGCCGTGATTGGTCGAGAGCGGACAGGCGCCAGCGGTGATTGGTGGAGAGGGAGGCGTGTGAGAGAGCGTGGTTGCTGGGGGCGCCAAGAGGCAACCGCTCGAAGCTGGCCTTGGGGGGGACGCTGCTGGCTCGCAGCTCGCTCTATCTCCTCAACGGCCCGAGTTCTTACGGAGTAAATATGCTGTTAAGGGAGTCACGTATTTACAAGCATGTGTAGATGCACCGTAACACGATTGCTCGCTTTACATATCGTCACGTAACGCGCGGTTAACAAATATAACACTACAACCTCATCCATTGTCTTGTTTATCCGTATTCGCATTCATTATACCATGTTGTTCTCCCGTCGACTCTTTGGGGAACAACCTTGCAGAGGGAGGGAAGGGGAGGGGAGGGGGGAGGGGGGAGGGGGGGGGAGGGGCCCATCCAGAGGACCTGTTGTCTCCAAGGCAACAAGTGGCTTGCCTTGCCACGCCACTTCAGACAATGCCGTACACTTTATTTTTCGATCCCCAGACTAAACTACCGTGAACTGATAACTGGCGCACCCTTTGCCCGTGCCACTTGAAGTCCACAATAACGGTGCCCTACTATGCGTGTGAGATATTGAAGATAACGAGTATTCGCCCTGAAAATTGTCCCTCAGGCTGCAATTGTTGTCTTTCGTTGTTGTGAGGGAAGATAACTATCTTTGATCTCCTGTCCCTCCTACTTCTCTCTCGAATCTTCATTCTGCAATGCTATTCCTATTTGCTACTGTAAAATCCTTACTGCGTGCACATATTTTTTTCTTTTCGAAATAAATGGGCAATCTATACTCTTAGTAGAATATAAACGCTACCAACAAACCTGTAATTGTGACTTTAAAGTACAAGTTTGCGACTTTAATATAAAACAGCGAGGGAGGGAAGCATAAACTGATGGGTGTTTACTAACATTCGTGAAACCAACTCGGTATCAGCCTTCCACAGCAGAGTAAGTTGAGCAACCGCATCAAGATTACGGGGTTGTGTATAATCACCGCCATAAGATTATCAGTTCAGAACCTGTGCTCTGAGATAAGGCAGAAAAAAATAACCGAATGCCCTATCTACCTGGCTCTACATACCTCGACGCACAATGATCTTTTTAACTACAAGGGTTAAGTATTCCGGCAAAGAAACCACAACAGACTCTCCATCTTTTAAAACGGACCCTGAGTCGCTTTCACCCATACAGAGAGAAAGTCCTTTAACCCTTAAAGTACAACGACCTTTAGGCTTATGCTATGACGCGACTGGAAGGCACATCTCAAGGATATTATACAAGGGTTATTATGTATGCGTGTAGTAAATGCTACGGCAGTGCTAACGACGCGCCTTATTAATTATACTTGTATTATTATTCTGATGAGATGATTAGCAAACGGTGCAGTCTCAAACCTCCGTGCAATGTCTACATTATTTAGCGTGGCCTGGTCAGTAATCCACGATTCTGATTTGCTGTTCTGCACGTGTCATTTGTTGATTTTGGAGAAAAAAAAACTCTATGGGAACTTACAGCTTGGCAATGCCGGCCTTCCTGACAGCCGAGGAGATGGCCTTGACAGCAGTTTGAATGCTAACCAAGAGCTGTGTCAGATCGCCGGTGGCATGAGGCACTCTCTTCTGCTCCCCCAACGTGAACCGCGTCAACGTCATGGAGTCCGTGTCAATTGCCTGGCCTGTGGAAGTCATCTTGAAGGGCGCTGGCGACGTTTCAGATAGGTCGTCTCTCCTGGAGTTCCGCAAGCGAAATGCGAGGGTTTGTTGTCTTTCGGGACAGCGCTCGGCCTTCGTGATCTGCCGGGAGGAACTGGAAACTGTCGTACCGCTTTTAACTCCAGAAGGCATTGCTCTGTTATTTAT